GAGGAACAGTAGGAACAGGAGGAGGAGCAGGAACAGGAGGAGGAGGAGGTGGAGGAGGAGGAGGAGGAGGAGGAGGAGGAGAAAGAGGAGGAACAGTAGGAACAGGATGAGGAGCAGGAACAGGAACAGGAGGAGGAGGAGGAGGAGGAGGAGGAGGAGGAGGAGGAGGAGGAGAAGGAGGAGGAGCTGGTGGAGTCCCTCATAGGAGAACGCGGGGCTTGAGTCGCGCCTGCGGAAGCACCGCGCCTCGGCGGCGGCCGACCTGGAGCGGGCCGTGCCCTTGTTTGCGCCTGGTTGGTGGCAGGGCGTTGACGGAGGGGGCGGGCGCCCGTCTCCTCCTCCTCCTCCTCCTCCTCCTTCTTCTCCTTCTCCTCCTTCGATCTTCGAGCTTCGAGCTTCGAGCTGCGCCCATTGTCGAGCGATCGTCCTGATGCCCTCGCCCGCGATCCCTCCTTCCAGAAGGTGCTGGGGGAGGGAAGAACAAAACCAAGAGGTGGCCGGAGAAGAAGCGGGAAGACGACAAAGATGATGAACCGATAAGGACCAGGGAGAGGAGGAGAGGGGGGGAGGCTGCCACACCGCCACAAGCAGCTTGTGGCGGTGTGGCAGCGCGCGTGCGGGTGGGGCCCGAGCGTGTGCCCCTAGACCCACCTCGGCTCGCCTCTCTTGGAGTGGGGGCCCGCCTCCTTAACCGCGAGGTCCGGCGGGAGATCCTCCTGCCCTCGGCGGGTTCCAGGCCGGCGACGGCGCAGCGTCTCCTACCGCCGCGCGCCCCGGGCATTTCGGCGATGGCGTTGGCCCATATTGTTTTTTTTCCCCGCGGACAGGCCCGCCGCGGTCCGGTTTCCCGACCCTGAATCACGGGCCTCTGCGGGCAGTGACGTCGCTGCCCCCCCCCCCTTCCCGGGCGTCGCCCCGGGGAGTCGCGCGCCCCTGGCGGGGGGGGGGCCTTGGCCCGGCCCTTGGCGGCCCCTTTCCCCCCCCCCCCCCTGCCACCTCGCTTCGGTTCCCGCCCCGCCGGCCACGGGTCTTGAGGGCAAGAAACATACAGACACAATTAATCCTCCATCCCCCAGAAAATATGAGAAAATATGGGAAGTGGTGGTGAAGACAAAACCGAGAAAGTATGAGAAAATATGGGGTATCCTTTTATTTGTGTGTATTTATTTGTGTGTCCTGGGGCCCCTTCAACGGGGGCGCCCGCTCCGCGCGCGCCGTCGATCGAGGCCTCTGCCCTCTCGCGGAAGGGGGCGCCCGTGACTCCCCGCCCGCCGCAGAGGGCCGACGCCCGAGAGGTGCGGGGCCCCCGAGGCCGCCCTGGGGCTTCCCGTCACGGCAACTCTCCGCCGCAGTGCTCACCCCCCGTTCCTGGCCCTTCCTTCGCGCCGCCAGACAGCTCGCGCCGGCCGTCTCCCGGCCCGCCCGAGCGCGCGCGCGGACTGCCTGTGCCGCGCTGCGACGTCAAAAGTCCCCGGCCCCGCCCCCTCTCCCCGCGCGCTGGCCGTCCGCGACCTTGCTCCCGTACGCGGGTCCGAAGCCTCCGCGCATCGGGAACCCGACTCTCAGGGCTTTGCTCGCCCCCCGCGCCTCCTCGACCCCCCGAGCCCCGAGCCCCACTTCGCCCCGCTCCACGGGGGGCTCAGCATTCTCCAGCGCAGACTCGCGGCCCGCTAGATCCGACAGCTTCTCATCTGGAGCGCGTGGATCAGCGCCTGCATCTGGCTCGCCACTAATTACCGCTGGCCTCCTGCAGGGTCTACAGAGTCTGTCCCGGGTGCTGGGGGCCATCGGGGCGGTTGACCGCGGCCCCTCCCTCCTGCCTGGGAGCGGTGGCTCCGCCAGACCGTCTCATCCCCGCAGGGCGCTCTCGCGCGCCTGCGGGGCGTTGCAGCTGGGCTGCCCCGTTCCGCCACTGGCACTCCTTGTTCCATCCCGACGGTTCCCTTCGGGTGCCTCGGCGCCGCGGTCCAGGTGCGCGTCCTTCGCCTCGCGGGCGCAATGGGCCCCTCGGCGCTGACGTCTACCATGCGCTCCAGCAAAGAGACGCCCCTGCCCACTTCGGCGGCCAGGGCTGAGTGGCCAGCTGTGGCCGCGGTGCTCGACTTCCCAGCCCGCGTCGACTACGCCATTGTCGCCGCCGGGCGGACCGACGACGCCCGCCTTGACCGCGCTCATCGCGCGACTAGTCTGGTTAACCTCCTGATCGACAACCCCGCCGCGCGTTTCCAACCTCCAATATGGCTTCATCCGTTTCTTTGCCTCCTCCTCCTCGGTTATTTCCGCGCCCATCTCGCGGGCGCTCTCGCCCGCGTGGCGAGGCGCCCCGGCGTGGCGCCCTGCCCCGCGGACGCCGCTCCCTCGCCGCCCCGCCTCTCGCTGGCCCCTGCCCGCTGCCTCGCTGCCCCGGCGCCTCGGCGCCGCGCGCAGCCGCTGCCCCGTGAGGGGTCGGTCGTCTCGCTTTTTGTCTTGCTTCTCTCTTGACAAATGGGCGCGCGCGCGGCCCTCCGCGCGGCGCGTCTGACGGCGTGGCGAGTCGCCCGCCCACGACGACCGGAAAGCGCGCGCGTGTGTCGCGCGCGCTCGCGTGACCTGTACTACACCGCGCCGCCGCGCGCATGGCCGCGACGCCAAAAAGTGCGCGCGCGTGTGGCATTGTGGTTGCCCGCCGATCGGACCTACTGCCGCGTGGGCGAGGAAGAAGTGCGCGCGTGTGTTCTACGTGCGACCACCTGGCTGCCTGCCTCCCGCGCCGCTTTCCACAGAAGCTTGCTCTTGGTAAACTTTTCCCCCATGCGCCCGTGTTTGGGACTCGGCCGCGTGTTGAAAGACAAATACGTGCGTCTGTCTGTGTGTGTGTGTGTGTCTGAGAGTGTGTGCGCGCCATCACCAGTTGCAGCGCAGTGCTGCATCCCCTCCAGCTTCAGCTCAGTACAACTCAGTGCAGCTCAGTGCCGGCGCTGGTCCCCCACCTCGGCGCTCCCCCCGCCGCAGTCGGCAGCTCTGAGTGTCCCGGCTTCCTCTGCCCCTGTCGCAACGGGGCTCCTCCTCTTCCTCATCCGTGCATTGCGGCGTCAATTTGCATACAGCGTGTCCCCTGTTGCCACTCCGCCGGAGCAGCCGCCTTCTGCCCAGCCGCCGACGCAAAAAAAAAAGTGTGCGCGCGTGTGTGTGTGTGGTGGTGTCTGAGTGTGTTTCTGATATATACGTGTGTGTATATATATATATATATATGTATAGATCGATGCATGTAGTATGTATGTGCATATATGTATGTATATATATATATGTATATGTGTAGATGTATATGCATTTGTACATATGTATGTATGTATACATGCATATACATATATATATAGATATATATATGTACACATGTATATAGTTGTATGCACATTCACACATGTGTATATATACACGTAAAACAGCAGTGTCACGTTTTGCCATGTGCCTTCTTCTTTGAAGTTCGGTATGCAGGTGGAGTGGAAGGATGATCAAGCCGACAATTTAGCGATAACTCCTTGTTGTCTTTTTCGGCACCGCCGCTATACGAGTGTGATTCGTTATCCTTCCTCCATGCTAAAAAGAAAAATCGCCATACCCTTCGCATTATTCCCGTTTTCTCTGATCTTTTTGCGGAGGTTCCTCTTTGAAGAGCCTTTGGGGGCTTCGCAAAAATGTTTCAGGGTTTCTTCAAGCCTTTGGAGGCCTCCTGGGCGTGTTCTGGGGGCCTCTGGGAGCTTCCTCGGGCCACTCTGTCTCCAACCGCGGTCTCCCTGCGCGACCGGGTCCCGATTTGGAATTCATCGGAGGGTGTCTTGGGGCCATCTTGGGTCGCCATGAAACTCTCTTAGGACCATCTTGGACCCTTGTTGTGCCGTTGTGGAGCTTTCTCGGACTGCCTGGAAGCCCGTTCGGATGGTTGTGGGGCGATCTTGGAGCCTCCCAGGCAGCTTCGGATGCCCAGAAGACCGCCGTCTTGGAACGTCGGGGAGCCGAAAAGAAAAGAACCCCAACACTCACCAAACACCAATAGAACATCAATGATTTTTGCCTTTTGGGGCCTCCGTGGGACTGCTCTTGGAGGCCTTTTGGGACGTTTTGGAACGATATTTGGGGTATGACGACTTCTTGGGGGTCGTCGTGCCCGTATTGGGGCTGTCTGGGGTCGTTTCGGGAGCGCGCCGGAACGCCTGGAACCCGTCTGGGGCCGTCTTCGGGCTCTCGGGTCGTCTGAAGGGTTGCCCCGAGGCCCGGGGAGGGCCAAATTCGTTAGTGTGTGGGAGGGGGGCTTTTCCCAGCGTCCCCACCCAGCCCTGATTACAAAAATACGCGAATACGAATATCGGAGTAGGCCAGTGGGGGGGCCGGGCCGCTGCCTGTACCCCCCATGGGCGCTCCCCGGGGGTTTTGGGGGGGTCCTAGAGCTCCCGAGGTGGCCCTGGCCCGCCCCGAAACAGGCCACGACAGGCTAATGGGGGTCCCGAGAGGGCTCAAGACAGTCCCAAGAGGCCCCGAAGACGCCCAAGATGCCTTCAAGACGGCCGACGAGCACTCCAACACGCTCCAGGACGGACTCAAGAGGCTCCCCAAGAGGGCCCTGGGAGGCAAAATTCATTAATTTTAAACGGTTTTTGAAGGATTTGGGCGTTTTCGATTTTCCCGCTTCCCAGCGCTCCCTCGCGGCCTCGGAGGCGGTTTTCAGATCGCTTCAAGACGGCCCACGGGGCCCCGAATAGGGCCCCAAGACGGCCCAGGAGGCTCCCCAGACAACCCAAGTGTGCCCCAAGAGCGCCCCAAGAGAGGGCCCAGAAGGGGGACCGCGAACCGCAATTTCGAGGAATCTGGCCCTAGAGGCCCCCAGTAGGCCCCTGGAGGCCACCAAGAGGCTCCCACGAAACCCCGAGAGGCGCCTAAGAGGCCCCCAGGAAGCCCCAAGAGGCCCTCAAGGGGCCCCCAGGGACAGGGAACGTCCGCCCATGAGGCCCCCCAACACACCCCAAGAAATCATGTCCCCAGAAAGCCTTCCGGGGACATGGTTCATCATGGGCCCGAGAGTCTCCGGAGGCTCCGAAGTACCATCACGTTGCAGGAGAGCTGTCTGGGAAGTTGATTGGGAACATGGTTGATCGCCTTCTCGCGGCCCTCCGCGGATCGTTTCACACAAAGTTGCCCCAAGTGCCCTCTTGAACCGACGACGACGACGACGACGACGAGAACGACGAAACGACCACGACGAGGACGACGACGACGATGGCGCGCCCCAAGAGGCGACGACGACATTACGACGACGATGGCGGCACGCCCCAACCGGCTC